TTAGCAAACTTCCTAAAACATATCTCACTTGTGTGGAAATAAGACTTTACAGCAGCCAGTGAGGTGATGTAGGCCTGTAATCCTAGCACTTAGGGAGCAGAGGTAAGTGGATCGCTTTGAGCTGAGGGCAACATAGCAGAAACTTCCGTCCCCTCCCCCACCTTCCACTACCCCCTCCATGTGCCCATCTCATCCAAAAATACAAAACTTAACCAGACATGGTGGCAGGCACCTGTAGTCCCAGGTACTCAGGAGGCTGAGGTAGAAGAATCACTTGAACCCAGGAGACAAATGTTGCAGGGAACGAAGACTGCAGCCAGCCTGTGCAAAAGAGCAAGACTCCATGTCAAAAAAGAAAAAGAAAAAAAAAAAACATGTTTAAGAGGAACCCCAAAGCAAAAATCCCAACCCTTTTCCTCCCAATCACTGAAACACCAGAAAGGTGTAATAGATTTGAAGCATACCTGTAATAGGCTGATAGTGACCCCCCAAGATGCTCATAACCTAATCCCAGGAACTGGTGAACATGACCTCATATGGTATAAGGAGCTTTGCAGATATAATGAAGTTAAGGACTTTTGGCCAGGAAGATTATTCTGGCTTGTCACAGTGGGGTTGATGTACTCACCCAGATCCTTACCAGAGCAGAGCAGGTGATGGAGAGCGATGGGAAGCGTAGTGATGGAAGCAGGAACCTCGAGTCATTCAAGAAGGGCAGCACAAGCTGAGGATTCCAGGAAGCCTCCAGGGCCAGAAACTCATTCTCCTTCAGAGCCTGGGAAGGTACCTGCCCTGCTCCCACCTTGAGTCAGTGGGACCGACTTTAGAATTCTGGCCTTTAGAACTATAAGCGAATACATCTGTGTTGCTTTTTTTTTGTTTTGTTTTTTTCCCAGACAGAGTTCCCCTCTTTTTACTTAGGCTGGAGTGTGATGGCACAATCTCGGCTCACTGCAACCTCCACCTTCCAGGTAGAAACAATTCTCCTGCCTCAGCCTCCTGAGTAGCTGGGATTACAGGCATGCACTACCACACCCAGCTATTTTTATATTTTTATTAGAGGTGGAGTTTCTCCATGTTGGTCAGGCTGGTCTCGAACTCCCAACCTCAGGTGATCCGCCCGCCTCAGCCTCCCAAAGTGGATTACAGGCGTGAGTTACCATGCCCAGCTACGTCTATGTTGTTTTAAGCCCTAAGTGTGTGGTAATTTGTTGCAGCAGAAACAGGAAACTAGTATCGTAGTGAAGCCTCAAAACCCACCTGAAGGGGCTGGGTGCAGTGGTTCATGCCTATAATCCCAGCATTTTGGGAGGTCAAAGTGGGCAGATCACTTGAGATCAGAAGTTCGAGACCAGCCTGGTCAACATGGTGAAACCCTGTCTCTGCAAAAAACCTAGCTGGTGTGGTGGCATGACACATGCCTGTAATCTCAGTTACTTGGAAGGATAAGACATGGGAACGATTTGAACCTGAAGAGGGGAAGGCAGAGGTTGTAGTGAGCCAAGATTGTGCCACTGCACTCCAGCCTGGGTGAGAGAGCCAGACTCCATCTCAAAACACACCTGGCTAATTTTTGTGTTTTTAGTAGAAACAGGTTTTGCCATGTTGCCCAGGCTCTACTCAAACTCCTGGCCTCAAGCGATCCACCTGTCTCAGCTTCCCAAAGTGCTGGGATTACAGGTGTGAGCTATGGCACTCAGCACTCACCAAGGCCTTTGACAACATGCTTTTCCATGTGATCAGTCCTTGTCTGGTCCGGCTCTGCCACACTCTCCACTACAACAAGTTGGAATCCTTAGCTACTTTTCAGAAGAGGAGGGTGTGTACTTTAATCCCAGCTCAGTATGGTTCAGATCTGCATTTAACTCATGGAACCTGGCTGCTTCCAAGGTCCTGGAGAAAAAAAGGGTCTCTGTGGGTATGATACAGGATGAGCCAAGATCATGCCACTGCACTCCAGCCTGGGCTACAACAGCGACTCCATCTCAAGAAAACAAAAACAAAACAAAACAAAACAGACTCCATCTAAAAGAAAAACAAAGACAAAACAAAAACAAATGTGGCATGGCAAAGAAAATAATTACTGTGTTAAAGACAGTTTCATAAAAAATAAAAGACAATACAACAAGCTGTCTTTTTAGATTAGTACAATTGTTATTCTTATTTTACAGCTAAAAAAATGAGCTCAGGGCAAGTGTGGTGGCTCACATCTGTAATCACAGCATTTTGAGAGGCTAAGGCAGGTGGATAATGAGGTCAAGAGATCAAGAAGATCTCTGCCAAAATGGTGAAACCGCATCGCTACTAAAAATATAAAAATTAGCTGGATGTGGTGGCACGTGCCTGTAGTCCAAGCTACTCAGGAGGCTAAGGCAGGAGAATCACTTGAACCCAAGAGGTGGAGGTTGCAGTGATCCAAGATGACACCACAGCAAAAGAGCAAGACCCCGTCTCTAAAAAATAAATAAATAAAATAAGTAAAAGAGAAACAGGCTCAGAGAATGTTATTTGATTGGACCATCTTGCATCTCTGGACAGAAAAGCTGAGATCAGACTTCATGTGTAACTCCCCTAGCCTACCAGGGTGCCTCTCATAAAAGGAAGACATATAAATTTGGTCTAATATACAAAGATGCTGGAACAGTCAATTCTACATACAGTACTTCCATGTTCATCAAGGGAAACCTTAAGAGAAGGTGAAAATGCTTCTTGAAGGGACTGGACACCAGTGTCCTTACTTGTTGCCTTTGGGCTCTTCCTCCAAGGGTAACAGTGACCTGAAATTACTGACTGTTCCAATCAACGGGAGGAAATGGTACCAAGGTCACCAACATCAGGCAAATTCACTTGAGGACCTATCCGTGTGCTTGACAGACAAAAACTGCCTTTGTAAAGGATACTGTATTTCAGAAAAACATAATCACATTAACATCTAATAACACTGTAAAATGCTGTTGTGTTGAATGCTACTTTAGAAAAATATGCTCAAATGTAGAGAAAAAATTGTGATAGAAAACTACTTACCAATTATCTAGCTAGCTATCTAGAGACATGGTCTCATTCTTTTGCTCAGGATGGAGGGTTGTGGGATGACCCTACTCACTGCAGACCTGCTCCTGGCCTCAGGTGATCCTCCTGCCTCAGCATCCTAAGTGGCAGGGGACACAAGTGGACACAGTTACACCTGCCTTTTTTATTTGTTTCTTTTGTAGAATCAGGGTTTCACTACATTGCCCAGGCTGGTCTCAAACTCTGGAGTCTCGCTCTGTCAACCAGGCTAGGGTTCAGTGATGTGATCTCGACTAACTGCAACCCCTGCCTCCTGGGTTTAAGCAATTCTACTGTGTCAGCCTCCCGAGTAGCTGGGACTACAGGCATGTGCCACCACATGCGGCTAATTTTTGTAGAAACTGGGTTTCATCACGTTGGCTACACTGATCTCAAACTCCTGACCTCAGGTGATCCACCTGCCTTGGCCTCCCACAGTGCTGGAATTACAGGTGTGAGCCAGCAAGCCAAGCCATGGACTTTGTTATTAAATAGCCTAAACCAAGTGGGGCGCCGTGGCTCACACCTTTAATCCCAACAACTCTGAAGGCCAAGGTGAGAAGATGGCTTGTACTCAGGAGTTCGAGACCGGCCTGGGCAAAATGGGAGCATCTCCCTCTCCCATCTCTACAAAAAAATACAAAATATTAGGTCAGGCATGCACTGTGCCTGGCTAATTTTTGTATCTTTTTTAGAGACGGGGTTTTGTCATGTTGCTCAGGCCGGTCTCACACTCCTGATTCCAAGCCATCTCCCGCCTCAGCCTCCCAAAATGCTGGGATTACAGGGCCCAGGCAGCCTCAATTTTTCTTTAAGCAGTCCCCCAATGTTGCACGCTTGGATAGTTTTCTTTTTTATTTTTTTAGACAGGGTTTACCTCAGTCTCGCAGGGTGGAGTGCCGTGGTAGAATCATAGCTCATTGCAGCCTTGAACCTTGGGGTTCAACTAGCTGGGAGGCTGAGGTGGGACTACAGAAATGGGGTCACACCACTTTGCTAGGCTGCTCTTGAACTCCTGGCCTGAAAAAAACTTCCCACCTCCTCAGTGTCCGGACACACTTTTTCTATTTTTGAACCCACATAAATACTGTGCTGGGTCGGAGTTTGTTACCTACCCTTCTCCAGCCAGCAGCACACAGGACGCAGCGGAAGGTGGAGGTTACCGGACTCTGCTCTGGGGAGAAGACAACACAGCTCCTAGGCAACACACCTCCGCGTGAAGTCGCCTAAGGCTTGCCTCTGTGACGTCGCCAGAGGCCCGTCTCCGTGCGCCGTGACGTCACCGGAGGCGCCCGCCGTGACGTCGCCGGAGGCGCCCGCCGTGGCGTCGCCGGAGGCGCTCCGCCGTGATATTTTCAGAGGTCGGCCCCTCACGCGGAGCCAATCGGAAGTAGAGGCGGTGCCGCTGGGTCTTCCAGGAGCACGCATGCGCAGGCTGGTGATGGAAGCCACTGCAGAGCCGGTACATCTGCATAGACAGGCTCCCGACTGGCTGCAGTCACCTATAAACTCCAAAGAGGAGTTTTTTTTTTTTTTTTTTTTTTGAGACGGAGTTTTCGCTCTTGTTACCCAGGCTGGAGTGCAATGGCGCAGTCTCGGCTCACCGCAACCTCCGCCCCCTGGGTTCAGGCAATTCTCCTGCCTCAGCCTCCTGAGTAGCTGGGATTACAGGCACGCGCCACTGTGCCCAGCTAATTTTTTGTAATTTTTAGTAGAGACGGGGTTTCACCATGTTGACCAGGATGGTCTCGATCTGTTGACCTCGTGATCCACCCGCCTCGGCCTCCCAAAGTGCTGGGATTACAGGCTTGAGCCACCGCGCCCGGCCCAAAGAGGAGTTTTAAGATTTCCCAGTCTGCAGGGCCAGGAGCGGCAGGGACCCGACTCAGCGAGCAGATGCTGCTCACCAACCTCCTGGCGCCTGGTGGACACGAGTGCAAGGTCACGCAGAAGAAGCTCCTCAATGGACAGTGAAGGTCTACCAGTGCCACTGCTACACCGGACACGTATTCTTGCCTCAGCCTAGGTACGTGCGACCCCTAATACCTTTCCCAGCCAGGGACCCCAGGAGCATCCTTCACCGCTGCTCATCCTGCGCAGGGCAGGGCAGGGCAAGGCAAGGCAATTCGAGGCATGGCAAGGCAGGGCAGGGCAATTCCAGGCAAGGAAATTCAAGGCAAGTCACTCGCAGAGCACTACACTTTAAGGCAGGGGTCAGATCCAAGGCACAGGGCTTGTGCTGTCTCTCTAGGTGACCAATCCGGGAGCAGGGCAAACCTCGATCTTCCCTCCACACTGCCACACCTGCAGAAGAAGACAAAAAAGATCACCTATGCTTCACAGGCAGTGAATTGCATAGCTTACTGACACAGGAGACTACATTTTAGAACCATTTTTAAAGAATGTATATTCAGTCCTCCCACTCCTGTCTTTATATTGCCTCCTATCCTTCTTATCTGACTCATCATTCCTTAGAAGTTTACCAAACTGCTTCTCTCCTGACATCCAAACAACTGCTGAAATCATACTTCCTTCAGGAAGTCTTCCTAAATGGACCAAAGGAGGGGCAGCCTCTGCTCCCTTATCCTCAAGGAAAGTGCCCATGTCCTGAGAGGTGCCATGCCCTGAGCCACTCTCACGACACTAAGTTTCTCGTGCCCCTTCTCTACCTGCACACTAGACATAGGGCAGTGTGGCAGACAGTCACAAAAGTGACCCCGTGATGCTTTGCCCCTGGCTGCAAGCTGTGCAATGATGGAGTAGGTTGAGCCCAATTTATTCATCTGCGAAAAGGGCACAACCACTATTTGAGTTGTCAGCAGGATTAAATGACATAGCAAGGAATCAGTTACGGCAGGCTCTGAGATAACTTGAGGTACACCTTCTCTTTCATTATCTTTCTTTGGCTCTCCTCATTTGTCCCCAGAATCATGTGGAGGTTACATCCCGCTTGCACTCAGGTATTTATTCTTTCTAGCCAAACATTCAAAAATCCAATACAACCTTACTCCAATTTTCCTAGTTGATGAAGGTTTTCAACTCATATAAATTAGGGGCAAAAAATTAACTGTTGGCATAAAAAAAATCTTAAATTCAAGTTAAAAGTCAAGATTGACTAGGCTGGGTGTGGTGGCTCATGCCTGTAATGCCAGCACTTTAGGAGGCTGAGGCAGGCAGATCACTTGAGGTCAGGAGTTTGAGACCAGCCTGGCCAACATGGTGAAACCCCGTCTCTACCAAAAATACAAAAATTAGCCAGGTTTGGGGTGTGCACCTGTAGTCTCAGATACTCAGGAGGCTGAGGCAGGAGAATCACTTGAACCTGGGAGGCAGAAGTTGCAATGAGCCTAGATCACGCCACTGCACCCCAGCCTGGGGAACAGAGTGAGACTCTATATCAAAAGAAAAAAAAAGATTGCCATTTATGAAATAATGCTCATAATTAGCTTTCCCCAAAAATTTTCAAACGCTGCTCTTCCAATTTAGTCCCAGTTGCTAAACTCCTTTCATCATTTATCTTTTTCTCTCTCTCTTTCTCACACACACATATAGAGACATTAAGCTTCTCCTAATAATATTACTTTGTGCCATACACTCTCCTAATACTTTCCATAAATTTAATCCTCCCCATGCCAGTATCCCCCTTTAAGTAACCTGTCCACGTTTATCAGCTAGTAAATGACAGAGCTGCACTGTGAACCCAGGCAGTCACATGTTCAGTTCTGGCACAGTGCATGAATACACGAGGTGCTCATCAAATGTTGTTTTGTTGTTGTTTTTGAGACAGAGTTTCGTTCTTGTTGCCCAGGCTGGAGTGCTATGGTGCAATCCCAACTCACAGCAACCTCTGCCTCCTAGGTTCAAGTGATTCTCCTGCCTCAGCCTCCCAAGTAGCTGGGATTACAGGCATACCCCACCACACCCAGCTAATTTTGTATTTTTAGTAGAGATGAGGTTTCTCCATATTGGTCAGGCTGGTCTTGAATTCCCAATCTCAGGCAATCTGCCCACCTCAGCCTCCAGAGTGCTGGGACTAAAGGTGTGAGCCACCACACCCCGCCCCATCTCCCTTCTTTTTTTTTTTTTTTTTAATTGTATTTTAGGTTTTGGGGTACATGTGCAGAACATGCAAGATAGTTGCATAGGTACACATGTGGCTGTGTGATTTGCTGCCTTCCTCCCCTTCACCCACATCTGGCATTTCTCCCCATGCTATCCCTTCCAACTCCCCCCATGCTGTCCCTCCTCTATTCCCCCCAATAGACCCCAGTGTGTAGTGCTCCCCTCCCTGTGTCCATGTGTTCTCATTGTTCATCACCTGCCTATGAGTGAGAATATGCAGTCTTTTATTTTCTGTTCTTGTGTCAGTTTGCTGAGAATGATGTTCTCCAGATTCATCCATGTCCCTGTGAAGGACATGAACTCATCGTTTTTGATTGCTGCATAATATTCCGTGGTGTATATGTGCCACATTTTCCCAATCCAGTCTATCATCGATGGGCATTTGGGTTGGTTCCAGGTCTTTGCTATTGTAAACAGTGCTGCAATGAACATTCGTGTGCATGTGTCCTTATAGTAGAACGATTTATAGTCCTTTGGGTATATACCCAGTAATGGGATTGCTGGGTCAAATGGAATTTCTATTTCTAGGTCCTTGAGGAATCGCCACACTGTCTTCCACAATGGTTGAACTAATTTACACTCCCACCAGCAGTGTAAAAGTGTTCCTATTTCTCCACATCCTCTCCAGCATCTGCTGTCTCCACACTTTTTAATGATCACCATTCTAACTGGCGTGAGATGGTATCTCAATGTAGTTTTGATTTGCATTTCTTTAATGACCAGTGATGATGAGCATTTTTTCATATGTTTGTTGGCCTCAGGTAGGTCTTATTTTGTAAAGTGTCTGTTCATATCCTTTGCCCATTTTTGAATGGGCTTGTTTGTTTTTTCCTGTAAATCTCTTTTAGTTCTTTGTAAATTCTTGATATTAGCCCTTTGTCAGATGGGTAAACTGCGAATATTTTTATCCATTCTGTTGGTTGTCAATTCACTCTAATGACTGTTTCTTTTGCTGTGCAGAAGCTGTGGAGTTTGATTAGGTCCCATTTGTCTATTTTGGCTTTTGTTGCCAATGCTTTTGGTGTTTTAGTCATGAAGTCCTTGCCTATGCCTATGTCCTGAATGGTTTTGCCTAGGTTTTCTTCTATGGTTTTTATGGTGGTAGGTCTTAAGTTTAAGTCTTTAATCTATCTGGAGTTAATTTTAGTGTAAGGTGTCAGGAAGGCATCCAGTTTCTGCTTTCTACACATGCTAGCCAGTTTTCCCAACAGCATTTATTAAACAGGGACTCCTTTCCCCATTGCTTATTTTTGTCAGATTTGTCAAAAATCAGATGATTGTAGATGTGTGGTGTTGCCTCTGTTATGTTCCATTGGTCTATATCTCTGTTTGGTATGAGTACCATGCTGTTTTGATTACTGTAGCCTCATAGTATAGTTTGAAGTTTGGTAGTGTGATGCCTCCTGTTTTGTTCTTTTTGCTTAGAATTGATGTGGCTATGCAAGGGGCATCTTTTTCACTGTACCTCACCTCCAAACCAGAAAGCCCAGTCCGATGGCAAAAGCCAAGTCCCCTACCTTCCAGTCAGGCCTGTCCCCAGTATTATCCCACTGCTTTTTCCTTCTCCAGTTCCATCTCAAGGTGACATCTGGGCTCTGATGTGTAGTACCGAAGGCCTAGTTATTCTGCCTTGACCCCCAGGGGCATGGAAAGTCACCTGAGAAAGATCACCTGGCCTGCGAGGCGTTCTTCCCCCAGCAGGAAGCAGGACACTTCTTTAGTGACTTCTTCAGTGGCTCCTGAGTGAGGACTGGAAGGCCAATAGCAATGTCAGAGCCCCATAGGGGACCCCATGAGGCCCCTGAGGATCTCAAGGTCCTGGGAAGCCAGTGGAAGGCCAGAGAATGGCTCACTGTGCCTGTGACAGCCCATCCTCTTGGAAATATGAGTGGGCAAACCACACCCCCCAACTCCCCACACATGGCCTGAGCACTCCTATCCCATTGTATGAGAATACACCCATTCACTAATTACATTCAAATGGAAGAGAAGAGCAGAGTCAGAGAAGGCTTGTCACAAGGACTGAGATGCAGCTTCTCTCCAGTGCTCTGGGGAAGGATGATGCTATAATGGCCACTCCCAGCTTCTGCTGTCCACCACATGGAGAGTGTTTCCCCATAAGGCCTAATGGTCCTCATGTCCAGGACTGACGCACGGCTGCTGTCTAGAGGAAGCAGAGTTGCACAGGCTTCAGTCAGGCAAGCTCTGGGGAACACCTGAGTGCTGCCCCAGAGCCCCAGCTGACCACCATGCTGGTCCCCGGTCCCCTTGTGTCCCTCCACTGAAAGAAAGGTGCAGTGGTGAGGTTGCTCTTCTCTCCTCAGTTCCACTCCTGCCTGGCAGTGTGACCTTGGAGGACCACTTAAAGTCCA